GATAGATAGATAGATAGATAGATAGATAGATAGATAGATAGATAGATAGATAGATATAGATAGATAGATAGATAGACAGACAGTTAAATAGATAGATAGAGATAGAGAGAGATGATATAGCTGTAGCTATAGATAGATGATGTCAAAGTGACTTAAGATTTATTACCCCTGTCCTGTCCAAAGGGAGCTTTGCTTGCAAAGACAAAAGGTTCACACCAGTTTTTGCTGCTGTCAGGAAAGAGAGAGTTGCCATTACAACTGAGAGTGGGAGGAAGAAGTTGGGATCTCTGCACATTTTTAGTCCTGTATGTCAAAATGAGAGATCCATTGTTACTTCTTCCCCAGTTCTGCCTTTTGGGGTGCTGAATTGACAAGAACTGGCATTGAGAAAAGGAAGAAGTGCTGGAATGGGCTGGTTTCTTTCTTCATAGACCCTGGCTATCCGAAAACATATTCGGCCCATCGAATTTTTTACGATACTTTTGCAGAGAAAAACTTTTTCATCTGAATCTTTTGCTAAATCCAACTTTACCTTTGATTTGCACCAAATGGTTCTAGAAATTACAGATGAACTTCTTGGACCTCCACTTGGATATTAGCTTTTTCTGGTCAAGCTTTCTTAAGGAACTAAGAAGGATGGGTGGTATTGTTGTTGTTGTTGTTGTTTTGCAATATTAAGCTTTTTTAAAATTTGGAATACCATTGCAAGATTGGATACTAAACATCTTTTTTCATCTGCAGAATTACTTTTAGACCACCACAGACGGTAAACTAACTTTTACCAAGATAAAATCTGTACTTTTATATAATTTAGTATATAGTCTCTTTGGCTAACTGGCAAGATTGGAGGATAGTTTCAAAAACAGAGATCAAGATTTAACATTTGGAATTTGTATTTCTTCCTCCTTTTATTATCTGTAGTTTGATTTACCAGGTCAATTTTTATTTCAGATTTTTTCTTTAAGTACATTTTTTTTTTGACTAAACCATACTGAATGCAATAGATCATACTGGTGAATAAACATGCATAGAATAACTGTGCAGTTACTTAACAATCCTACAAAATCTTACCTGGGGACAAATCCTAAAAAAATTCCTTGGCATTTTCTTCTGAGTAGCATATACAGGATTGTTTTGGAAGGAATAAACTCAAAGCAAGCTATGGCAATGAATCAACCCTCTGCAAAATTAAAGGTTACACACTTTGTGGTGGTGCTAGTGAAGTAGCTTGGGGTGTGCCAAGTAGGTCACAAATGTACTATTAAAAACTCAGGCGAGTGATCCAGAAGATATAATGGAAAAGAACAAATTGAAAAAGGAGGGGTCTGTTTAAAGAAAGAGAAAGAGGCAAGGGGCAAACGTTGGGAGGGGGGACGTATAGAACCTTTACTTTAAAATAGATGCGTTTGCGTTGGGAGGGGGGAATTACTCCAAATAGAAACTAAGAGACCCCTCTGTTCTCAGCCGCATTACTTGCAATTCATTGTTGCTGTTATTATCATCATTAACGCAATGCTGTACAGTACTTGAAGCCGCCAGCTCACGTCGTGATATTTAGTCCTGAAAGCCACTAATTTGAATAAAGCAGCGGGTCTCTGGACTAACTCATCCTCAACCACCCAAAAGCGAATTTTTGAGACTTTTGTCCTAACACTTTTTATGCGCACTGAATTGCCCAATTCTCAATTTTTAAATGGCACCACAGATACCCAGGCAACTTATTTTCGTTGAGGAAAAACAAAGCCTTCATATATATTCTTTTCTGGACACTAAACTGCGGCTTCTTCCCGTTTAAATTACATGAAAACGCAACAAGACAGATTTGCGTTTCTTAACATTTCTCATTTGTTATTGCTTTTCGGCAAGCGAAGGTGAGGCAATATCTTCGTGCAGAAGAGGACTAATCCCCGAATTTGAAATCTTGATAGATTTTTCTAAGCATAAAATGGGCGGACACAATCCTGTGCTCTTGATCCTTCGTGACAGGGACGGAACCCTTCAGATAAAATATTAGCTGGGCCGCTCGTTCTCAATTTAAAATCTGCCTGAGAACAGAGCTATAATTTCACCGCGGTACGTTCAGGTGTAAAAGGACATTTATTTGGCAGTTGACCTTCACGTGTGACGGTAAGAGAAAAGGACGTCTTCGCCAAGTAATGGACCCAGAATTAGTGGGAGGTGAACAACGAGAGACCTATCTTTGAAACGGGGAGAAGGTTTCGTTTACGAAAGGAGAGATCGTTTTAAAATATTTTCGTTTGGGGAAACATTCCTTGGCTCCAGTAACCTCGTTTCCCGTTCTGAATGCTAATATTATTAATCTGTAATAAAAACGTCCGCTAACCACCCACCCACAGTTCCCGGCTCGGCATCCCCGTATGTCACACAACCTCAAGAATATAAATCATGGCCGGGAGGCCTCGGCACCTCCTTCTCGGTTCTGCGGCCTCTGGCAACAAACTGAGCCTCATTCCGAGCGCTTCTTGTTGTTACTAAAAGCGCCGGCCCGTTTGAACTGCCACCGAGTTGGCACCAGTCCACGGATACCAGATCCTCGTGGGTTCCCCATTTCTGGCTTCCAGCTGAAATCTTTCGTTCTATAAATAAAATTATTGGCTATTTTTTAAAAGTGCTTCTAGACTCTTAAAAACCCAACAATGCTAATACCAATTCTGTGCTAATGGATCTCATCATTTGCTAAAGCAACTCAAGAAAGCTGAAGATTTGAAAACTACTATATTGTTACTTCATTTCATTTCTTCAGCCTTTCACAATTTGATGCCCACTAGAAATGTGGAATACACCTATCCATTCCTGGATATCTTGAATATGGCTGAAAGGGTGTGTAAGAAGGTTAATCCACATATTTATCTATGAAAATTCTCAATCATCCAGGTCATGGTTGTTCCAAAGGTGCTTTTCCCCAAAAGGTAATACCATAGGACTTAGTTTTTTTCCCCTTTGAAAACATTTCACTTCTTATTCAAAAAGCTTTTTCAGTTCTAGCACCTTTGAGAGATCCTCATTTTCAACTGCAGAATCATCCAGCCAATTATTGCTTCTGTTTTATGACTAAACCTGAAATGTAGGGTTTCACCTCAACTAGGCAGCTTTAGAATGGTTCAGTGGCTGTAGACTGGACCCTTTACAAAGTAAATTGGGGGGTTATTCTTTTTTTATCTTTAAATCACAGCTGCTGGATTTTGACAGGTGAGGATAAGGCAGCATAGAGGAGGAGTTATACTGATCGCCTACCTATGCCCTTTTAATATATACAACACCCATTGTCCCAGTCTCTGTGACTGATCATTATTTGTTAATAGTCATGACTGTTGTAAACCAACCATCTGGGGAGAGGGCAGGGAGAGGCACCAGTCTGGGAAGGTTGGACAGGCATGTTGGCTGCTGGAACTTTTTGGAGTTTCAGTAGAATACATTTGAAATGGAACTGTCTTAAAGTAATAATCTACAGCATTAATATCTAGACAGTGGCAAAAAGTAACCCTTTTCCTGATATACAGGAGCCTTGCAGCTCTTGTATTGCTATCTCATTCAGTGCAGAAGAGTTGCTATTCCAAATCAATCTATTAAACACCATATAAGTAACTGATTAGGAAATGCAGTAAAAATAACTGGTGCTCACTCATTTAATATTGCAGCGGTTTCCTCACATCTGTGCAGGGATGAAGAATATGTCTACAATTCCCTGCAGACACAGCCAGCCAGTGATAAGGCCTGCTGGAAGTTATAATTCTCCAATGTCTACAATGCTACAAATTCTTTGTCTCTTATTTAGGAGTGGCCCTGGTCTTCTTTTTCTCAACATAATTTATTTCCAGTGGTATGTGAGTGGGTCAGTTTATTGTTTTATTTATTAGTGCAATTACTGTGGCAATTGCTGTAATGTTATCTACCATATTTGTTGTTTTATATGCTAGCTTTCTTCTGTGGATATGAAAACAACATCTATGGAAATTATATAGTTTGTTTCATTTGTTGGAAGTAGATTGTGTCTCAGTTAATTATAAATATAGGGTTTATATTTATAACTAATCTTAGCATTACTCCCAGTTGGAGACAAAACATGAAACTCAATCAGACTTTAAGTTACAGGAACTCATCCTAAATTTTGCTAAATCTCAATCCCATTTATCCATCAACCCTGTATGGAAAGATTAATTCTAATTTTTAAATGTTTTATTACTGAAACATTACTGAAACAAAAGCTACCCAAATGTAGCTTTTAGGAATGAGGGGCAATCTTCCTCACCATGGTATCTTTCATTTTGGATTCTTCCTTGTAGGGGGTCAGATTGTGAAAGGTGATTATTGAAGTAATTATGAAAAATAGCCATGAAAAAAAATATTTTGGATCTTGCTTAAAAAACGTCTCCATTATCTAATGATAATGTTAAAACAGCTCCAAATTTAAAAGGATTTATGGATAGATGTCCATGATTGAAAGATATCTATATCAGGTAGGTATGTTATCCATGAAACCTGACCCTTTTAAACTTCTTTGAACTAAGATAGACACAAATCCTACCTAGAAGCCAATCTCAACCAATTGTTTTCCTTGTTTTCCTTGATGGATTGTAACTCTTTCTTACCCATGACCTTTTGTTTTAGAAGCTTAATAACTCACTGGATTAATGGTCAAATCAACAGAAGTAGTTCTGAATTACTTCCAAAATATTGCACATAAACAAAACAACAGCTAAAAGGCAGAGAGGAGGGAGAGGGAGAAATCCCCAGAATCCCAATCTCCTT